ACGTGATGCGGCGATCCCGAGGATTCCAGCCCCTCACTTGCTAAAGCAAGGACAACTCCAGCTAGCTGGTGCTAGCTTTCGTGACTAACCTGGACAGCACATGGTGTTGCAGTAAATTACAGTGGATGGTCTGTTGTTGCCCTGTTTTCTAATCGTTTCCACGGCCTTACCCCTGCTACTGGTCACTACAAGGCTACTCAATGAGGTCTTCCCCCCCCAGCTGCGCTGCCCGGGCTGAAGCTGGCATCAGCGGCCCATAGGTGCCATGATGCCTGGCCCACAGCCCGCCGTGGGTTGTGTCGCTGCTCGGCGTGATGCTGCTTGGGGTGTCACTTGCAACGGTTAGACGATTTCGACCGAACAAGCCACATCTTTCTCTGGTCCAGCTTGAGGAGACACACACCAAGGCAGGACCGAATTAGCCCAGACTCCCACATGCGAGTCTCCACACACCTGCGATTGAACCTCGCGTGAGTGAGGGGAGAGCCGATGAGCTCCAGCTCCTTAAGCAAGGGCACTAGCTGTACCAACCGATGCCATGGGGCTGATATGTCCTTGATTGCCCTCGATTATCTTGATACAGTACAAATGCTGGAAATCCTCACCCTTGCCTTGCCGAACCTCAAGAACTTCCACATCAGTGGCCCAGACTCCCACATCCTCCAACGGCTCCATCTACCCACAAAACCTGACTGATTCTGTGTTCATCCCTGAGCTGCCCGCAATATTTTTGAGGGCTCCAGGCCTCGTCAGGTCCACACATGATGCAGCCAGGCAGGCATTTCTGCACAAGTCAATCACCACGGAATCAAGGACGTTCCTTCCTCGACATCCAAGCCTTCTCTAACCTTCCGTGCTGTTGATCAGATCTCCCTTGCACTCAAAAGCCCTGCACCGACTGCCCCATGTACATTCCGACATCCTCGTTGGAGCTCCAACCATCCACGTAATTTGGCTTCTCTCCAACCAACAACAATGACCTCGCTGACCAAATGGCGACTGAGCTTCCTCAACAGCAGGCACTTTCTGTCTTTAGGTCTTTAGGAGGGAGGGCGCTCCATCCCACATTCTCTGGGAATGCTGATGCTCCTCCAGGCCATGCCCACACCATGACATACTATCTGAGATGCCGGGCACCGCCCGCTCCACTGCCTCGCAGAGCGGCTGGGCACGTTCTTTCTTCATGGCATCATACCTAGCAGCTGAAAGTTGTTTTGAAGCTGTAGGTGATCTTATGCCGCTATGTATGCTGGAAACTGAAACTTACCTAGCATACCTACCAGCTACTTGTCTTGAAACTGGGTGACCTTGCTGTTTGCATGCCGTTTTTTTGTATTTTGTTGTCATGTTTGCCTGACCTTTCTGCACGACTGGCACCGGGCATCTAGCCAAGTCCAAAGTATGTGGAGAAGTCCACGCTTCAGTGCACAAGGTAGTCCATCTATATAGGAGTTATATATATATATTATATATATATATAGGTCAGTTGGGTGTTCAACTCCCAACATGGCTCACTCAGGGCTTCGGCGATCCAGATTCCTCCAGGGCCTCGGAGCCGAACGGCCCACGTGTCTCGTGTCGAACCGAGCTGCGCTCCATCGTCGTGTCTTCGGGGCGCCGAACGACCCGGGAGCGCTGGGGTGTTTCATGGCGTTGTACACCAAATGTCCGGTGCTGATTGGTCATGTCCAGATATGTCCAGTTCTTTCCTTCCTCTCTCACTTTCTTCTTGGGTGATGGCTCAAAGGGCTCGGTAGCTGCCAGGTAGGCGTGCAAGCCTCAGGGCTTCTGAAACCAAGAAGGGCTGGTGCAGTGGAGTTCTTCTCTGCCGGGCCGGATGGTTCGAGATTCCGAGCCATACTCCTGCTCAAATGTTCTGCGCAGATGTCCCCGATGCGTCTCCCCAGGCCCAACCCCAAGAAGGGCCTGCGGGCCTGTGTTGAGCTGGCCGAACCATGCTGAATCCGAGGATGGCGCAATGTCTCCCTGGCGGCGCCAACTGGGAGTTCACCACCTCGGCACCACGAAGCCCGTCGCCGAAGAAGCCGAGGGCCACCCGGCGAGCCGACGCGAAGTCCGGGCATTTCTGGGAGAGGTCCCTTCAAGGCTCGACCCGTTTATCTATTTTCGGTACAGTAGAGTACCAACTGGCTGTTGCCTCGCCCTCAACTGGTGCCAAAAGGAAACGTATAGAGCCAGTCCCATGAGTTCCTCGCATGGTCTTCTATCATCTTCTATCTTGGACACACCACCATGATCAAATGCGACTCTGACCTCCTTGCGGAATAGTTGCCTCTGGTTCACACAAATGTGAGCGGTGTCTTTTTGGTACCTGATGAACTCCAATCCGCCCATGCTCCTTTGCAATCCTTTGGGTTAGCTGTTAGATGCTTGAGCAGCGTTGAGTCATGTAATCTCGTGTGCGAATAACTGCAGAAAGGATTCCAAACATGCTCATAACTTTGTGCTGAAACTGTAACAGTTTATATAAGTTTAAGCATGGTGATGCATGTGACTATTCAAACATGCCATTGCAGACTCACAGATCCTCCGATGGGTGACTCTGGCAGCATGATGGGCCAAACGTGGGTCATGGAAAAGGGCATGTGCCACCCTTCACTGCAACAGCGACTGGCAACCACTGCCTGCGCTTGGTAAGAAAAAAGGAAACGGCACTCCTGCTAGATACCTATGGACAATAGATACCTTTTATATCCTTTTATACTTAGTCGGAGATGCCATTCTCCCAAGCCAGGATGTCGATGTCCAATTCTTCAGCATCCACCCATTATGTTATCCTTGTTGTCAGCAAAATATGTCCCACTCAACTCATTCTAGAGGCTTAGGCTTAGGCTTCTGAGTAGCCCCCCTTTTCGGAACCTCCGATCCTCCTTTCCGATCGTTGGGCCTCCCGACGCTTGGGACGCTGATGATCACCACGTTGCCCGTGGCATCGATGGGCTCCTGCGCGGTCAAGCGACCCGTGCAGCGTACGAAGAGGGTCCCATAGAGTCATAGAGGCCGAGGGGGGTTAGTGTCTTTTAGGGTGGTTAAGCTTAGACCCGCATTGATTGTAGCAGAGGTGACCTTCTTGTGCTACTCGTGTTCTTCCAAAGCTCCCAGTCACGTTCTGCCGTGGATATGTGAGAACGTTTGGGCACAAAAGTCAAGCATTTATGCACTGCTTGTAGCTGAACGATGTGTTAGGGGACGACGTACAATAAACACCAGCAGCTGTTTTCAGTATATATAGCAATGAGAGATTGATGCCCTTGATCGCCATCCTTTGTTAATGAGGTGTCTTGAAAAATGTGAGGACTTGCTGACTTGCTTGTTGAAACCCCTGTCTAACCACAGTCTTCATCAGGAAAAATATTCAGTCTTCATAGGACCTCTGTCGTGTGGCGTTCATCGACGCGTACCTTCTGACTGGTGCGAACTTCACTGCCTGGTACTTCGGCAGTATATGTGTCTGTGAAAAAGCGGCCGTGCCCCCAGGCCCGCCGGACATTCCAGGGGAAGGGGAATCCTGTTCTTCTTTGCATTTTGGGGGGGGCGCTTGAGGATCACCTCCTGTGGTTCAAAAGGCAAATTCTCTCTCTTTTATCCTTGGAGCATTCGTGGCTTTCAGGTTGGACACATCTCAGCCGGATGCACTTGCCGCCTCAGCTTCCAATTGCAGTTGTGCGGCAATTTTTCTGCAGTAAAAAGACCTGGCTGTAGCAGGAAGTTTTGCAAGGGAAGGTAAAATCTTTTCCTCGAAGGCCTTGACTGCATCCTGTGCTGGCAAAAGCTCCCTGTTTGCCCAAACATCTTTGGGATCATGTAGTGACATCGTGTCTCGACGCAGAACAAATGTGTTGACGCTGATACTCGCCTTGTCAGATTCATGAGGCAAGGCCTGTGTACAATGTGCCCAGAAGGCTGGAAGGAAAAGCACATCGCCAGCATGTAATTCAATTTCATGCCGTCGCTTCCAGGCTGCTTTGGCCAATGGGAACTCCTTCCACAACTGGGGCAGATCGGCCTCCGCAAAAAGGCGGCTGCCCATTGCCGAGGAGGAACCGGAAATGTACAGGAGTCCAATGTCATCTGGATGGAAGAGAATAACCCTCTTTCGCCCTCGAATGCAACACAGGAAGTTGTCGCAAACATCATAGTGCAACCACATGGACAAGCCAGTGCTGGCTATCCTCAGCACGGTCGAGTGGGTTTCGAAAGGCAGCAGCAACTCATCAGGCAGTGAGAAGCCATGATCCACATCGCCTCCAAGACCGATCGCCTCTAAAGTCGCCGCCTTGTTCCTTTTCGAATGCTGTGATCGATAATAAAGAAACTTGTTGCCATTTTCTCCCTGCAGTCGACTGAGAAATGAATCAAAGTCTGCCACCTCATAGGCAAAGTTTTTGCTGGCAAAGTTCAAAAAGGGCGTGTCAGAGACATGCACCTGAATTTTGTGACCTCCCAGGTATCTCCTCAAATAGTCGTCGCTCCAACTCCTCACACAATGGCCAATTGACACCTTGAGGAGCAAGGGCGACACCTGTGGGTCCAGGAGGCGTGAGCCGCTCTGAACCACTTGAAACGGTGTGCCACCTAAGCCGCGTGCCCTCCAAGCTCGCAAGACTCGTCGAATGAGGAGGGCCGCTACAGATGTCAGTGATAAAAGCCCCACCAGGGCCGTCTTCCGCGAAGAAGTGGCCATAACAGACATTCAAGCAGGAAGCGAAGGCGCGCCTCCTTAAGCCAAATACCTGATCTCGCAGCACCTCCAAGCTCAAAAGTCTATGTCTATAGTCTATAGATTCTGCAATTGAGTTGCTAAACTACTAGAACATTTGCCCACTCATCCCGCTAGTTGCATGTCACTTCCAACTGGCCACTATGGCCACATGCCATTGCCGCACCTCCCAGTCCCGGATGACGCTGTAGTGCAGCGGCATGTCGGAGGGCAGGCCCTGGCCGGTTCTATCGAAGGATGGAAGCGGCATGGATCCACCACCACACTCCCACATACCGCACGTGCCCCCAAACTCTTTTGAAAGGCATCTCCCCCAAAATATCCGTCACGAAGCTCGGATCGTGAAATATCCGGGTGCTGGGATGTGCTTGGAGCGGAAACACCTGGCATTGGCTCTCAAATCCATGCGGTGCCCTGACCAAGCGGGGGTGGTGGACCCCCTTCATATCGTTCGCTGTCCTTTTTCGAGGTGCTCACCGTGCTTCACTCTTCTCCAAAGGGTGATGGCCAGACACCCACCTCGGCCTTGAGGCCCAAGTGTAAATGCATGAAGGAGCCACACCTCAAACAACCAGAGTCTGAAGACGGCCCAAGAGAGTCTGAGTATGTCCATGTCTGGATTCCAATTGGCGCTGTGTCAATGGGTCTACGTCAGATGAGTCATATGTCTTCAGAATCCGAATCAGCTCGTGTTGCACATTACTTGTTAACACTTGTTATGAGTTGACATAGGCCCGGCCGCTTGGATGAGATACAGTAGCTAGCTGAACATCTCGGATGCTCAGGCAAGCTCTCTGGTGGTGGGCTGCTTGGCCATGGGCTTCCCTCCTGAGCGCCGTGATGGACGTTGCGAGGTCCACATCCCGGAGACGATGCCCTAGCACCACTCCCTCAGCACTCCGCTGGCAACAACCGAGCAGTGTCCCACACGCTGGCATTGCTCACCACCGCCTTTGAACGCTTGAAAGCGGCATGGGTTAGAAGAATCCATAGCAAAACGGTCTGCATTTAATTCCAGTATACTAACTATTATGTAACCCCCAACAAGTTGGCTAGAATGATTGCAGTTCTGGGAAATCACGCAAAGCACACACTACTACTGTTCAATACACTTGGTACAAGCAATCGGCTGCCATAGTGGCATTAGGTTGATCTTCCAGCCTCTCGCGCCAGGATCTGCCTCAACTTGTGCATGTTCAAAAGTCTGTGTCTGCTTGCTGTTCAACACTTGCACTAACACTCGGACAAACATAGAAGTGGAGTGGAACCCCCGTGACCACCCTAGGCTTGTGGAGGAATATATTCCCAGAGACCTGAGACCATGGTGACCATGGTCCAATTCCAGGTTACAGTAGCTGTTCGGAAGGAACTTCTTCTTGTCCTGATCCCAAACCTAATATCATATCCATCACAAGCTCCACATCCCCTCTGAGACTCCCAGCTCCCCGCTCCGAAGCTGCACTCCCTTGGCCTTGCAGCTGCGGACACCGCCGTGAGTCGTCCGAAAGAAGAGCATCAATTCGAGCTGTGAAGGGCACAGGGCCGCCATCCACCAGAATCTTCTCCACATGCGCGTTGTAGCCTGAGACCAAGAACGACCTCCGTCAGCCGTCAGGCAGCGATGTTGGATGTTCAATGATGTTTATATTGAGTCGTGCATGAAGAAATAGCCAGGCGGCGGATCGTCCCATGGTGTTTCTCCAGTCCTCGAACCAAAGCATCTATCAAGGCCTTGGGAAAATCAGGAATGGCCCCAGCGACCAGAGTCTACAAGTCTCTACCAGATCATCCGGCCCCTAACAGAGAGCAGAATTCGTGTCTTGCACTGGATTCCCTATGTGGCCCTTCTCCTGCCACGTGGCCTGTGTCCTCCTCACACACCAAGCCACCAAGCGCCTCACTCCCATGCCTCCTTTGGGATAATCCAGGACCGCTCCTGGCCTGGGTACAACCATCCGAGCGAGAGAAAACGAGGGTGTGTCATTGGTGACCAACCGATGGTCCTGGGATGGCATTGCCTGTTTGAGGTATGCTGGCGTTCAAGCCAGCAGCATCTATGTATTGGACTGGTTACTAGTCATTATAAGTCTATAAACACCATGAAACACCTTGATTATCCGGAAAGCAGGGATGTCCCAGGTGTTGAACGATTTCTCCCGTCGACGGTAGGCCACATGTAAACCTCTACGTCTCAAGAATCCTGCCAAGTCACATGTACATGTCAGAGAGCATGTAGGCCACTGGCGCAGTCGGATGGCCAGATGCAGGCAAAGCCTGGAGCTTAGTGGCGCTTGGTTCATCCACAAGCTCGGGCAGTAAGGTCAAGGATCATTTTTGGATGAGAAAGCTGAGCGTCGCAATTTAAGCACACCAACACCATTCGCAGAATGTTGACAAACTCATTAGAACCTGTCATGCAAGTGCAAAGTCTACTGCACCTGACACGAACCTGGTCGTAGAGTCGTATAGCTCGACATCAATACTTGTAGAACTTGCATGTGATGTGTATATACATGTTACAGGCTTACAGGACAAATACATCTTACCGGCTTACAGGACAAACAACATGTCAAGGCTCCTTCTCTTCATTCCAGGTGTTCTAATCACCCTTTCCAGAATCCCGAAGCTTTGCCTGGAGGACGAAGCAGAGGTAGTCCACCCACTTCTTCACGAAGTGGTCGCTCACACCTCGTCCGACGTCAGAGCTTGCCGCCGGCCCGGGTCGGCTCGTTCGTCTTTCAACAGCGAAGTCGGGGAGGCAACGTCAGGTTGGTGTCTAGCAACCTGATCCCCAATTGATGGACACCAATTGGTTTGTCTTCACGCGTGAGACCCTATTCAGAAGGGGTTTCACCCCTGTACAAGATCCCTGCCCGCCCCTCATCTATTCCCACGTGACTAAAGAGAGACCGGGAGACCTCTGAGGATGGCACCTGCTTCCTGCAAGAGGTCGCTGAAGGGCGCCTGGAACTTCAAGCCATTGAGCAACAACGGTGGAAGTCGCGAGACATATCTCTGAAGCCTCAGGTGTGGAAGGTAGACGAAGGTTTGGCTGTCAGGCATTGGTGAGGGCATGACTCGTTTGACACTGCAAGCAAGAATAAAAGCTATGGGAAGCCAAAGTGTACCCTCATGTAGCCTCGTTGATACCTGAGACATCTTGAGACGAACGTGTTAGCAATCACAGTAGTAATCACTGTCATCTTAAAGGCACACATCAAATCTCATCAAGATGAAGTCCCGTTCTCTAGTCTTCAGACAGTGAACGCAGCAGCGCCCCCACAACGTTTGGCCTCCCATCCCCTTCTCTAAAGCAGAGCTAGTCCAGCTACCTAAGCTCCTCGCGTGCGGACCTTAGTGCCGGCGGAATCGTTGTGGAAGACGTGGGACAGTTTCACGGGTGCGACCCCTTTATCAAAGTCACTGAAATTCTGGAAGGAAGTGGAAACGCAAGCAGCTTGAGGGCAGCACAAATCCCAGATCTGGTGCCACTGATCTCAAAGCGGCAGCTGGTACTCCCTGGTGGTCGATCGATGGGTTGAAAAACGGTCGCAAGAGCTGGGCACCGGCTCACCTGACTCCTGCAGCTATGCAAGGTCCATGTTGTGTCTGGCTCTTGTCCTATTCCGTGCCTCCCTAGAAACCGGTTTGACCAGGACCGGTCTAAACGCAGCCCATCAAGCTCATAGAAACATGTAGAAACCAAACGCTTTGAAACATATAGAAACATATAGAAGCTCATAGAAACAGATAGAAGCCTCTTCTCCTCTTTGCTCCCGTGTTCTCTGTCCCAACCGCTCCATCTCCTCCGTCCCTCCGGCCTTGGAGATCTCTCCCAGCGGCTGAGCCTTCGCCATCAAGCGCCTCCAGTCCTCCACGGCGCTGGGCCCGCCGAAGCGCTGGAGGATCTGCTGCCAGCGGTCCACCGCGCCTGGCAGGGCAGGTTTGACCAGTACACCTGGTAGATGCCTAGGAGCACCTGGGACTTCCTAGGTGGGTGGGAGTGCCGCACGAAGCTTTGGTTGGCAATGAGTGCACATGATGTGAATGACTGAGAAAATTGCCATATGGCTGAGGACATGAGCAGGCCAATGCTCTTCATGTTTTTGCGATCTAGACCGCGATTTTCCGCGATCTGACCAAAGGCGGCAACACCTGCCTACTTCGAAGTCAAAGTTCCCTGCTGGCCTCAGCCAGGGGCATTTCAGCCACCCGATTCTCACATCTCTCACCCTCGAAGGCCGGCGGCTGAGGTACCCACGTCACCATGCGCCAGCCAGGGTAAGTCACCCACTCACAGTCCTGGAGATGAAATGAGCAGCTTGAGTTCATGGAAGGAAATCCTGGACTACACCAACTAATGTTTGTGGCTGCAAGGTTTGCCTCCAACAGCCACACTGTTCATGCCTGGTTTTAGCAAACTTGCTCCTGCCTGGCTTTCTCCATCACGCCCAGGCCTTTGTGCCTGTGAAAACGTCTGGAGGGGTGAAACCATCAAAAGTCACGCAACAGAAGGCGACGGCTCCTCGGCTACTCTGCCAACGTGTGGGCGGAGTAACAGCCTGCTACCATCTGCCGTCATCAAAAACAATCAGATGTCCCAAGAAGGCTCACGAGCGCTAGTGGGCTGGTTGCCTGAAGACAAGTGCACAACTTTGGATTTTACTAGGTGTGGCCCTGCTAGTCTGAGACTATCTTAGTCTTGTATGTATCTTGTCCCCTGGCCCTATACACGCCATAAACATCCGTAGTAGAAAGAACATGTAACAAGAACTACTAACTACTGACTACTTCTCAACATCCATCCACCCCCAACAAAATCACCAAGCGAGCCTCCACCTCCAAAGGCTGCTTCGCGGCCTCCCACCCCAGAGTCCGCACCGCAGCCGCCGGGCAGCGCCAGGCCGCGCCGTGCTCGGCGTCAGGTTAGGGAGGCCTCGACTTGCAGGATCCGTGCTTGGAGTCGATGAGTGCGCAGGCGCTCCTCCTCGGTCTCCAGCTCCAGGATCTCCACCGTCTTGTCCTTCTCCGCCAGCCTCGAGATGTTGATCCGGATATGTTGACCCGGAAGCCCGGCAGGATGGGTGATCTTCTTTTCGGCACGTTGGATCTTAAAACGGCAGGACACATTTGTCTTCCTGATCTTGCAGCTTGGCTGCTTGGGAGGATGTTTTGATATCACATTCATCCGTGGGATAGAAGATGCACTGAGGCTACAGTAAGTTAATATATATAAATCATCTATTGAAAAACAAAAACATACAGAAACCTTCTCCGACTTCACCCAAGGAACTCATCCTCCAAGTCTCCAAGCTCAGCCTCCAGCTGTGCAATTTCATGCTCCAACTGCTTGCTGTTTCCAATCGCTTCCCGAAGCTCATCGGTCAAGCCGTTAGCTGGTTTAGGTGTCTTGGGGGTGTTGGGCGGTAAAGGAGCCATCACACCTCACAGGGGCCGAAAAAGCGGCAGTTGGTGGTTCGCAGCGGGTCACCAGCTGGTATGCCTTCGAAAACGTCAGCCGTTTCAAGCCCGGAATCATCCCGGAATCCTGAAAAAATTGTACCATGGAAAGAGGCCGAACCTCCACAAAACTTATGAAAATACATGAAAATAATCCATTTACAACCAAAAGGATCAACAAGGGCGGATCCCAAATTCCGCCTGGAGGAATCCCCGCGGAGCGCTGCCTCACTTCCAGCAGCGCGATCTCCTTGGCCAACGCCGCAGCGTCCACCTCGGCCTGCGCCGCCTCCGCGCGTGCCGTGTCGGCGTCCGCCTGCGCCCGCTCCGCGCGCAAGCGCATCTCGTCCAGCGTGCCGCGCATGGCGTCCACCTGAGGTGGGAAGGTTCGGAGGGGAACAGCACGGAGTTGGCAAAGGGAACCATTACACGAATGCAAACGTTGCTTCAAATTGTTTTGCACGGTTCTGCGGTTGCTTGAACGACCAAGTCACCATCATAGTAACTATAGATAGAGTCAATATAGTCAATGCAGGGGTAATTATGCTATTGAAGTACAATGCTCTTTCCTTTTGGATGCTTTTGGCTTGTCTCTCTGCCACCCATGCAGGGTGTCGGCTGCGCCTGTTGGTCCACCAAGCTGTAGGATGCTTTGAAGTCCAACAAGTCCTTCTTCGGCTGATTTGATTGGCCGGAGGCTCTCGGGGAGAGGGACAAGACGATCACAACAAGCAATACAAGCCTTCTCAAGCCTTTATCATCTGGAAAGTTTCAACTAGGTCAGGATCAGGGGGAATCTGCAATGTCTCCTGAGGACGGAACTGACTCGCACAGCACGCCCTCGGTTTTCAGCAATAGCCAGTAGATGTCAGTGAATCTGAAGCCAACAAGAATCCTTTCAATGTCTCTAAGTCTTCCATTTCAAGTCATTTCAGCTTCAGCTTCGTCCTTCTTCAGCTGCCCCAGCTCCAGCTCCGAGCTGTTGGCATGTTGCTCCAGCCTCCGGCGCTCCTCCGCAAAGTCCAGCTCCAGGCGCTGGATGCGCTCCTGCCGACGCTGCAAGGCCTGCATCTGCCAGCTGGAGGTCTCGGCCTATGGACCGACGGACCAGCGGTCGACGCGTCTCAGCTGCAGACGACGCGAGACGACGCGAGATGAACGACGGACACCGAACACTCCGAGAGATGAGTTGTTCTGTCGATCTTCCGGAACTTGGGGAAGCAGGGTCATGCTTTGCCTCTTTTCCCAGTTCCACTTCACGGTGTTGCGCGACTTTCTCCGGAAGCAGGTTTGGGTTTGGGGTTGTCACCGTTGCCACCTCGTAGCGGTTTCGGCGAGGCGAAGCCCCCTTGGGGTTCATCTTGCATCATTCCATCATCGAACCGAACCTGTGCCAAGATGTATGAAACTGTACAAAAGCAGATTGTGGCAGCTTCTCTTGCAGCAAATCACCTGTTCAACGTTCAATTTCCGGATGTTTCGGCCACATCGCCAAATGTCCGCCGTCATAACTGCAACTCCATTACCCATTTACATATATTTGGGATTATACGGGCATATTTGGGCACTACATCACTGTTCTTCATTCTGCTTTCCCACCTCGCACCTCCCCATGGATTCCCAACCCCTCCAAATCACCTCATGCATCCGGCGCATGTGCAGCATCGCATGCTCCGTGCTCTGCTTCGCATGCTCCGCCTCGCGCCGGAGGGAGCCCCGGAGCTCATCCAAGCGCCGCTCGAAGTCTTGCTCCAGCACCTGGGGGATGGGAAGAGAACAGTGCCAAGCACGAAAACGCCCATCGATCCACTGCCATACTCCCATTATATAACCCCCTGGCAATTTCCACTACAAAGGGCACCAGTTGCTGCATCGCTTGTTCGCCCGGAAAATGGCTGATCCTCATTGCTCGGTCTTCCACCCCACTCAGACTCAGCAAGCGAATCCCTCACCTGAAGCTCAGCCTGGCGATCCTGTCTCAGCTCCTCATGGCGTTGCTGCATCTCCTTGGCGCGAAGTGCCAACGTCTGCCGATAGCGCTGCAGACTGTCCTCCGGCGGATCAGAAAAGTCCCAAAGCAACATCCCAAGGTCCGAAAGCTTCTCACGGCAAGCACAAGAAACGCGCAACAAATGGCTCTGGGTCATAGCATCTGCTTGACCACTGGCTGGCTGGATCCGGCCGAAAGCTTGTTGCTTCCTCTGGTTCCCCCCACCACCGAACCCTCGGAGGCCATCGACCCACCGGCGCTCCTGCATCTTCTCGGAGACGTCACGCACCTTCGACCTCACGGACGACGGCTCGGGCTCAGTGACGGCCAGGCACGGAGGGCGGCACGGCGTGCGTTCGGCCGCCATCGATGCTTCTTGCAAGTCCCTGGTTGATCAGCATTTACTATCATGACAGTCCATAAGTCGTACCACAGGCTACTTACAATTATGACTCATCCTTCCCCACAGTGTCCCCGTCACCACCGGTGCGTACCCCCACGACCTGCCTCGTCGCCGCGAGCTGCCGCTCCGCCGCCTCCAGCGTCTTCGCCCGCAGCGCCTCGCCGCTGAGGCGCACGCGGCGCAGCTCGTCAGCGAAACTCTGCCGCTGGGGACCGAAGAGTTGCTCCAGGCGCCGGGAGTTCTCCTGGGTTGGAGATGAATCGAATGGGTCTGTGGGATGAAGCAGATGGAGTTGCCAAATGCTTGGATTTGGGATGATGTTGCATGTTTGGGATCTCTCATTGGCTAGGAAGATTGGATTCAGGCGCCTCAAATCTATGGGACGAACCCAAGAGCACTTGTGACAAAATGGCCTGAGTTACAGTAACTGCAGTATCAAGACTTGAATGCGGTAGATGCAAACATGGAGAAGCTTCAGCAAAAAATGACTAGTGTAGTAGTATGCTTTTCTTGGCTTTGAGATTTTCACATGGTCCATGGACTTGAAAATGACTGTGCAACAATGCCGGTTGCCACTTGCCCATGTTTCCATCCCTCTGTCCCTCCTGCAAGCAGGTCTTGTCCGCCAACTCTGTCAGCTTGTGCCGCTCGGCATCCATCTCTTTGAGCGCTTTCTCCATCACCAACTGAACTTCACACTCCAACTCAGCTTGAAGCTCCTCGTACTGCTTCTCATCTGCATCATTCAAGGACGTCAAATGCATCACCACTTTGGTCAACTGCGCCACCTTTCGCACCAGTGCGCGTCGCAGATCCACCGCGTTCCCGCTGAGCCTCTCGCTCGCGTTCTCGCTCTCCTCGCCCTCGGCGACCCCACTCGCAGCCTCTGACTGCGGTGAGGACGCTCGCTCCGCGGGGTCCACGGGGAAGTCGCCCATGCGGGGGAAGCCGCTAGTGGCAGGTGGGCAGGGAAAGAAACAGCCGGAAGAAGGGCGGGCACTCCATGGCAACCATTGCAGGGACACCCTAAGAAGTTTGAATTCGTCGGGCATTGAACTCATGTCAATGGCGGAGTGAACGCACGAGTACTCATGAGCCTGGGCTTCTGGGAGGTCCCGCTGGTCTCGGTGATGAAAAGCAATAGCAATAGCATGCAACAGCAATGATGATCGATGAGCTAGTGACTTTCCCATGCACCTTGGGCTGTGGCTATGGTCGATCACCTACGCATAGCCTCATGTGCCGGCGCCATATGCGCCTTGAGCTGTCAAAACAGCGCACTGAACATGTTGCCAGATTGGAGGGATCTGACTTCACAGCAACGCTACGAGTACTACACATCACCATATATATATATATTCATACTCGCAAGGAAGAGTGTGAAAGTGACGCCCAAGGGATGCGTGAAGTTTTTCTTCTCATGTCTCCATACTCCATACCTCGGAGGTTTCTAGCCATTCCACCTTCCACATGGTGGAGCAGGTCTGGACGACTAACACGACGATCACGATGGTCGAAGGGCTCCGACATCCTTTTGTTCCACAGTCCACGGGGTGGGTCAAGAGTGAGACCTGAGTGAGACCTCAAATTCGAAGAGATGAAGGAAAAAAGCTGGGGACCAATGGATGACAAATGGCAACACTTCCTCCAAGTCTTCAAAAAATATGTAAACCACGTCCAGTGAGGGCTGAATCCCCCAGATTGGATTGGCACCTCAACCTCAGCGGTGGCGAATCTCAAGCTCCGGCTTAGGAGCGGACATGCTAGGCCGACATGCAGCTGCAAAAATGCCAGTCCAAGCAACGACTTCGACTTCTTCAACCATACTGCAAAGTGATGGAAAATATGATTATCTCCCAGTAAATACTTGTGAAAGTTCGCCTTCAAGCAACAAGTTCCACCTTCAAGAAGACCATCAGTGTTCCCAAATGTTCCAGATCACTTGCCCGTCAATCATGATGATTCACAAGTTGTTCCACTACAACCGACTTCCGACGTCCTTCCCCAACTGCTGGTGCGTTCACACTGAGGCACCAGCCTACAGGAGTCAAATCGTCCGGGTCAACCTGGCGATTCGTTCCAAACTGCAGATTGAACCATGGATCTGAGATGCAGTGGAAAAAGTCAGTGTTGGTTGCACCGCCCTCTGTTGCCCATTGACTCCTGTCGCAGCAATGCCTTTGGAGGCCGACCATGTCCAAATATGTATTTACAAGTATATATGGGTTGTCATCAACATTGAAAACCAACCAATAAAAAAACTGAAACAACCATCAAAATACAGTAGACTCAGTAGACTCGCCCTCCTCGCGAGAACTGAAAAAAAACACTGGGTTTTCCCCTTTCTGTCCGCTGTCAGTGCTGGGCGCCTTCCCGTGCTCTTCCTCCGGGCCGTCGGCCAAGCCGCTCTCGTCGTCCAGCGGCGGCTCCGGACCCTCGCAGGCCACGGCAATGGCCTCGCAGCCAAGGCGGCCCCCAGGGAGGGCGGTGGCATGAGGAGTGCTTTTCTAGCACGCTTTCGAGAAGTGGCTGCCAGCGCAGTGGGAAACGAACCCAGGACTCAGTCAACCGATGTCAACCGTCAGAACATGACCTCCAAGCCATAACTGCACTCTCCAGAATCCGCCAACATCCTTCCACTATACTAAACCTCCTGCTTTCACTGCAAAAGTACCTCGCCCAAGAACCTCATCATGCAACGCCCACCTCCTCCACCAGTGCCGCCAAGTGCGGCTCTCCGGGGATCATGGATGCACACTGCCGGGCCATGTTGGCCGCCTCTTCCAGCAAGTTGGGCTCCTCCACCAAGTAGGGCAAGGCAGCGCAGAACTCCCCGGCGGCCGCGCCGTGCTCGCCATCCAACAACTTGGACCAGGCCAAGATGTAGCGAGCCCGGCCGTTCTCGCCGCGGCCCAGGAGCACCTCAACATCGTAAAGTCACCATGAGATGTGCAATGATTTGGATGTGAAGGTATCGGTATTATGAAGAAACCGGAACTAAAGCATTTCCAGGACAAAGCAGTCAGCGCTTGAACCGTCTTTCCCAAACAACATTCATGTTACAGACTTCTTACGGTACATTTGCATACTCCCCCCATGTGAAACCCTTCTCATTCTCCACAATCAAATGAACCCACTCATTCCGCCGGTCTCCGCCGGTCTCACCTTGCAGAGCGCCGCTGCCTCAGCGGAGTAGCGGGCATCCTGCACGAGGCGGCCTCGCTCGCCGCCCCACGAGGCTGCCTGCTGCTCATTGCTAAAGCGGAGGAGCACATGGACCAGCCTCAAAGCTGGTTTCGATAGAAACGTCGCCGTTTCGCTGAAAAGATCCGGCGTCGTCTTTTTGGTGGAAGCGAGGGGCTTCTTTAGATCCTCAATGATCCTCATATGTCCTCAGCCTCATAGATTCATTGTTTGGAGAGTCCCTCTATTCAAGAACATGCGCAGCTCGGAAAATATGGATGCTCCCCATAGCTCCCACGTCTCTGCCTATATACTCACCCCAAACAATCCTGGAAGCATATATCATTATGTATGATATCTGTGTTTGTACATGGTTGTATCTCCTCTGTACCCAGGGTCATGTTCAGCTTCTTTGGCTTCAGCCCCTCGTCGGCGGGGAGTTCTCTCCACCGAGCAGCTCCAAGGCGATCGGCTCCTCCAAGCGATGCTCGAACTGCATCAGTTGCCGGAAGCCTGTGCACAACGCATGCGTGTAACGCCAACGCGCTGGGTTTTTGCCCTGGTTTCTATCCCCCTTCCCACACACATACACACACACGCACACACATGGTCTCTGGAAACGGGATGACATGTCCTCTGTCCGCACATCAGAGGTTGAGGAGGTTGGTATTATCTCCTCTGAATTGGACACCAACCAGGCAGGTTAAATGCCTGCCCGCCAGCCCATGAAGAGTGAAAAGCCACAGCACATCTCAGGACTCAAAATCAGCACCCGTCTCTGACTGGGGATGTGAATACCTAGAACTTGATCTTCCAGCTATATGTATATAATTTATATATACACATATAGCGATCGAACCTGAGGTTATGCAACCCCACTTCACCCACCCTGCCTTGTTTGGCAATTTGAACCTCACCAAGCTCCACAGCACAAATGGTCAGCCACGCCAGGATTTCTGGACGCTCTCGATCCAAAACGTTGGCCTCTTGCAAATACTTGATGGCCTGAAGCAGCCAGGACCAACAACAACGAACAGCTGCTTTGGTATGACTTAGCTTGAAAGCCAATCTGTTATCCAATACCGCCCATCAACTTTAGGCCAAACATGGCGAAGTCTCAAACCTGCTACATCCTTTTTGGACAGGAAATGGCTGAACTACAGGACAAGAGATCGCCAACAGGTAACAGGACTATCTTTTTCCAACATGATCGGGTCCATTCTTCAAGCCAAAGGCTATCACAAACGAATCTTCGATTCAAGCTGGCTCCACTCCACCTCTCTCCGCCTCCTCCCCCTTCACGTGAACCCTGTGCTCCAGCCTCCTTCAACTTCTTCTCTCGCCGCGGCGCCGAGGACTCGAACTTCACCTTGCGATAGCAGCAAAGACCTGAGGCGCGAGCGCACACTGGGCACTCGGTCCAAGCCTTTGAGGTGGCCAACGCTGGCCACGGCGGGTCCGTCTGCGAAGGATTCCGCGGGGGGGCCTACTCCGCTGGCTTTCAGGAGAGCTTCTTCCTCCTCCTGGCCCCCATCGACCAAACCCCCGATCATGCCACGTTGTGGGTCTCCCAAGTCTCGTTGGTCGGGGCTGAGGCACCAATGTTCTTCCAGGCTTCTGCTGTTGGGGCCAGCATGGCGGACTTCTTGTAGTGCTTCACCGCACCTGCACACCACCAGTACCAACGACAGAACGTCATATGTCATATAGGAATGAAAATAACCAAGTTTGAATTGCAAGTCACTTCAGTTCAAGCTGCTTTAGGTGTTTTTCGTCTGTGGATGCTCCATCCACCCCGTTTGAACCAGTTGAGCCTCTCCAATGCTCCCCGATCACTACACTATGACCACAGGGGGGCTGAAACCAAACCCTGCGACCTACACTAATTAAGCAAAAAAAGAAAGAATCTTTCTTGACGAGCAGTGGATTGCATTTGTTGGTCATATGTTGGTCATGCATTTTGTCCTTGCAATTTCTTTACACTATATATATATTGTAATATCTTTCCTGGCTTTTATATATATAATTATATGCCTTTATGATCTTTTAAAGAAAAGGTTGACGCAAACATGTCGAATGATTTCAGCTCTTATAACTCCAGTGTCTCCAAGCAACGCTGAACGGTCGCAGCGTCCGCAAAGCCTTCCTCCTGGCCCCATCGTGTCCGATCGTGTCCGATCTTCACAGATCTGTCGATCTGATCGAGTCCGACGCCCGATTCGACCAGTGTTACCTGATATCAATTGCCTTGGATTCTTCAAGCAGCTAAAGTCAAAGCACAAGACGGCATCCTCCGCCTTCATGTGAAGGATGCTTCCAACCTTGGCTTTTGCATGTTGGACTTCACAGCACATCAGCCAACCGTTGCCCAGGCAACCAAAATAAGATCCTCCTTCACTTCCTGACTAACCCAACCACCCAAGCACCCAAGATTGGTATTTCCATGCGATGGCAAAATATTAATCATCATTTTCCAATACGACCCAGCAGCTCGCAAATGTAGCACTGGATCCTGCTTCGGAGCTGAAGTCTCCTGGCAAGCAACATCTGCGGTCCGCGGCGTTCCGAAAGGAGCCCGCTGATGACTGATTGGTGGGGGGGGGGGGGGGGGGGTGAGATTGAATGTGTGCTTCGTTGGATATTGCAATTGTGACGCATGACATCATGTGGAGTGGTGGAGTACAGCACAATCTTGCATGATTGATTCTGCTGCAAGACAACGCAAGACTTACAAAAACCTCTCACTACTCTGAATCTCAGTATTTTTTATGATTGAGAATGACATGGAACTAGCCTATAGTTGCTATGAGCTACAATCAACCCGTTCTGCTGAGACTTGCCTCCGTCATGAAGCAAAGGGCTGCGTCGAAGGCTGCGAGAGCAGACTCGTAGCCAGCACCTAAATAAAGCAGGTGGAAATGAAGAGCCCAAACCCACAATGTCCCAAAAAACCTTTGGCATCCTTTGGCAAAGCCTTTGGCATGTGGCCACTGGTAGGGTGCTTTTCGACCCTCAAACTGGACTTCGTGGTTGGTTTTACCTGCGGCATCAGCAAATCCTACTCTGGCCATCCAACCGGCCCGGATCTGATCAGAAACTCTCGTGCATCATTCTCTGGTCATATGTGCAACATGCATGACCAAGTGCCTTGACCATCTGAGAGTTGAAAGAGCCTAAGCACACCAACTTAGCTGCTCGTTCCGCCCTTTTAAGGCAGCTTCTTTGTGCTTGTGTACAGTGTACCCTTGTCTCCGCAGGGGAATGCGTTGCAAATGACGATGTATTTCCAGCAACTACTCTCTTTGTGGGGTTGGTGGGTTTTGTTTTTCGTTGTCTTGTTGTTTGTTTGGGTGGTTTTACGTTGTTTCTTTGTTGTGTCCTTTTTGGAGAGCGTCATGTTCAGTTCTGCATCGTTTGCACGTCCCGAAAGGTCGTGCTGGCACCTTGAACGACCCAAATCCTTCCCACCCCACGCAGCCCAGCAGTTCACCCCTAAGGTCAATCACTATAGGACAAGTAGTTTCCAGATAGATAGAAACGTGTTTCAATAGATGTTTAGTGGGGAGCCACGTTTCCATCTAATTATTTGGGAGTCCGTATGTATACCATTCTCCCAGTGTCTCTGGTCGGACCATGCCCCTTGAACAAAAAGCCTCGATCCTCGCGCTTCGGAGATGTGTTGAGGTGTGTTGAGCATCTCGGACCCATCCCCCAAACCTCACATGTGTCATGTAACGTAGGAGTCTCCCAGGCAAAGTACCCCTGGAAGAAGGATGAGACCCACGATGGTATACCCCTATTCACCCTATTCAAAAACACCAAACCTCTTCGAACATCCTCAAACCACATCTTTCGCTCCTCAAACCTCTTTTTCGCTCCGCTGCGCCCGGAAGCGCGACACCGGGCGACCGGTGTCGCGCGACCGCGTCGAACCCGCCGCAGCCGCGGCCGTCACGGGGGTCTCCACCTCCCGGACGTCGCCCACGGTCACGGTGTGGGTGGTCAGGTTGGGCGGCCCGGAGCAGTGAGGACTGAAGCAGGTGGAGGGTTCGGGCTCCAAGGACTGAAGCTGTTGCAGGAAGCCGCAGTTCTGCAGAACACCTCAGTTCAGGCAGGGAAGTTGGGAGTGCTGTGACGGAGGAAGACGCGAAAGTTCCATGCGAGCAACATTTGGTCGTATGATGTCATATGCCTGGAGGGTGGCTAAAGGATGTTCTGATGGTTCATCTCCACTGGTCTAGCAGCCCAAATGACCACGCTCCCGCCTGGACGTCGGGACGAGATCAAGTGGACCGCCGCATCCAGAGACAACGGTCCAGTGGCATCCAACGCTTCTTGCATCAGAAACGCCGTGCAAAGCGTGGCCGAACGGTTCTGCCCAGCAACACAGTGAATCAAGACTTTACGTCCAGCAGTTCGACATCTTCTCAGGAATTCGTGGCACTCCTCGAAGTGGCACAAGATCGGATACTGTGGATGGTCATCCGCGTCCAGCAACAAATAGTCCATGCGCTCCAAGTTCAGCTGGGCTTCGTACCAATCCGCCGAAAACATCCGCTGGGAGGCACCCGCCTCTCCGCGATAGAGCAAGGAATACCTGGGGATATCAACGATGGTTCCATCCTTACAAAATGAAGCCAATGAAGTATGAAGCCTCTCATATATATATATATAGTAGCTCAATCGTATATAGTCATAAATGTTTGAATATAATATACATTACCATGCATTACCTATATTGAGGAACCCAAGATTCATCTGGGACCAAACCTCCCATCAAGCGATTGACTTGAGAAGGTACATACACCCGCTGAGGGCCACGTTCACGATGGCGTTGATGCCATGCTCCCGCAGCCCTCTCATATCCAACGCATCCTCAAGCCCGCCAAGCCTGGAGGAATCCAAGGCGACCACATGGCAAAGAGCATGGAAAGAGCCGTGGGTTGGGTCTTGACTTCCACTGCCCTCTTCTACTATCGCAAACCCTTTCAAAGATAGAATTGAAAGCCAAGAATGCCCCAAAGAACACCACGAGCCAAAAAGCCAGGCACAACACCACGCGCCGAGGGTCCACAGTTCGAAGGCTTCTTCCTGGCAGATCGCAGAGGCGCTCCATCCAACGCTAGGGAGGGGCGCCAAGGCCTGACCGTTGCGCTGGGCCTTCAGCGCCAAAGTCCGAGCCCTCGCCATCTGAGACTGAAAAAGCTGCAAATATCTGCAAATGGCGTCGTCGAAACCCCAAAGGTCACACATGACCATTCTCTACATTGATCTATTGAGTCGGTATGAGTCGGTCTAATTGTTTCACTCTCTCACTGTTCATCTTCGGAAGGGCCCTGAATGATCCTGAAGCTACTTACTTAGCCCCGGAATCCTTTTTCGCCTACGCTGTGAAGTGGCCGGGCCTTTATCCTAAACCTCTAGTGACTCTAGTTCATGTCTTCGTTCTCTTCGCCAAGCCGCTCGTTGAGCCGGCATCCCGCGCGGCCCGGAAGCGGCACTCGCCCAGGAGTGCGTGGGCTTCGGGGAGACGGTCGCCGCCTAATGTGACTCATCATGGGGCTTTGGCATGGCATGGTATGAGAATCCAGGGACGGCACAATTCAAAAGGGTTCGAACATGAGGTGACATGAGGTGACGGACTCTTGGAAGCCTTTGCAAGTTCTTTGCCTCAAGCAACTGAGAGCCTTCAGAGAGCCGTGATGTTTCAGACTTGGAGAGCCAATCAGCAACGCCTCGACGTTTGAAGAGGTCACTGACCACGGACTCTGCTTTGCCCCAATCCTGCGAGATAAGGCGAATGAGAGGGCAAACAGTTAAGGCATGTCAAGGCTAACATTCCGATGTGCAGTGGACAGGGCGAAAAAGGATGAAAACGACGCACAGCGGACAGGGCAAAAGCTTTGAGGGTGGGAAGAAAACACCACAATGTCAAAGCACCAAGTCCGAGCAAGCGGGCATGACATGACCAGATGCAGGTTGATTGACTCTTTTCTTGGGGCGCATCATGCTGCAACAGCAGGGTTTTTGATGTAATTTGCATGGTATTGGTATTTGATGTTAGTGGTGCGCTGCTATGTCCTTCCCTGGCTCATGTTTGGCCGCGGTGACGGTGACGACGGTAAAACTCAAGCAGTCGCTCTAGTAGAGCGTGGCAGTAGAGCGACTGGCAACCACGAGGCTGCCCACAACTGCAACCTAAAGTTGATTGAGCTGATTGGAAGTACAGCATTGAAGAGCCAAATCAAGTCTGTCCTTGGAAAGCATCACGGCCTTTAGCATCTGAATCTGGCAGCGTTCTGACATAATGGTCACGGGAGAGAGGTAGCCATAGGCCTGGCATCACAGTCTAGCAGGTGATAGCTGAGAATCAACGTTTGCTATATAACTTTATCTAAGTGTGCTGCTCAAAAATGCAGGTTCAGAGCAGGTTGCAGCACAAACCACATGTTGCAACGGCTTGCTTGGATCCCGGCCACATCTTTTAAACAACAAAGCTGTTAAAAAAGGTTAAACACCCCTTGTATGGCGTGCACCGATCGACCAGCTCACCGGCCTGAACCGCTTCTCCCAACAGGAAGCCCGCCAAGTCCGGCACGCCGAAGTGCAACAACAGATCAACCACTTGCAGAGCGATAGCCTTGGAAGTCCAACGGCCAACATCCGAGTCCAGTGTAAGTCTCCCTTGCAGGAAGAAAAACAACTTAAGTTCACACCTGACCAATAAGAACACAATAAAGAAAAGCACAAACATCGCCGATTCAATTGAACATGGTCCTTGGAGTCTTTTTGTTTCCCCAGCGCTGGAAAGTGCAAAGTGTTGTTGAGACGTTCGAAACCTTCAGAACTAGCAGCTGGCCAAAAAGTAATTACACTAATTACTAGTAGTGATCACTCATGTCAATGTCTGAAGTCTCCTTCAGATTATGATTATCAAGCATCTTCAGCTTATCAACCAGAATGTCCTTCCTCCCCCACCTGTTCTCCAAGCCGCATCCTCCGCTTCCGGCTCCGTGCGCAGCGTCCCCGCGTCCAAAAAGGCCGGGAGCGGCTGCGCTCCCGGCTGCCAGGCAGCGGGCGGCTCGGGCGGCTCGCCGGGCGCCTGACGGGTCTGACAGGGCGGGACCGGTGGCTGCGAGACCGGCACCTGCGAACAAAGGTTGACGAACCCTATATATGCATCCCAGTAAATCCCTATATAGACTATCCCATAGGTACCCCGGAAGGACACTCAACCGACCTCTCTGGGTGAGAACTGGAGAAAGCTCAGAAGTGCACAATTGCTGGGCGATCTCTCGGAAAAGGTGGCAGCTTGGGAGCGCCGTCATGTCATTGGGAGCGAAAGTCTTTGGACAGCAGATCCACGGGAGCGAAAGTCCTTGGGAGGGAGATGGAGGCAGCTGGCGGGAAGAGAGTACTAAGTTAAGGAGCACATCATGAGCACATCCTTCAAACTTCCAACCCGCGGGGAAGAAAATCAGAACGGCAGCTCCTGGGAGTGCAGTGTTTCACGTTCTTTTCATTAGCAATGAAAACACCCGTCATATACGCGGCACCCTGGCACCCTCGCGCCTCCGGTGCGCCTCGGTTTACCTTCTCCCGCGCCACCAGGTGCTGCAGCTCGGGGAAGGTGGGAAGCACATCCAACGTACCTACAGCACCGGGGGGGCGATGGAATGAACGGGTTCTTCTTTTTGATGCTTTTGTACCTAGCAAAAATAAAAACAAGAATGATAATCGAATCACCTCTGCTTTCACTCTGCTGAGGTTTCGACTTTGCCATTTCTCGGGTGCGGCCCGTGCCAACTCCAGATACTTGGCCGCCTCAAATAGCGGGGCACGCAGTACCTGATAACACCCCCTCACAACAACTCTGAAATTAATTACAGTAGATAGGATGAAGAGTCAATCCCCTTCAGAAATGCTGCTACTAGTGTTGGGGGAAGTGTCCCATCCCCTATCTATTTGGGCACCACTTGATTGTTCGCCCCCGCTTCACTTCGCTTCCCTGCCGCCTCTGCGGCCAGGCGATCGCTCTGCTCCGCCAGCTGCAACGCATCCTCCTGGGGCACTTCTCCCTGAGAGAAGCGAGAACATGGGACCGTTTTGGGAGGACTTCTTCTCACAGAAACCTCAATACCAAAGGACCAAAGGAAGGTGATCTTCCCACAGCATTGTTTTGCAGGGTGAGGGTGGACATGCCATCTGCCGAAAACTGCTCCCAACTAGTTTCTAAGCTTTCGACTGAAGCTTCCTCGCGCAGCTTGGCCGCCTGTGTGCAGCAATGATCTTGACATATCGTGACCTTCACACCTCACACTAACACCTCAGCCACACTCATGAGTTTCACGGCAACACTCCCAACCTCTACGGCGAAGAGGAGGAACATGATGTACATGGGCATCCGCTCAAAGGCGTTCCTCCAAGAAGGCATCAGGTGCTTCGTTGACTGCGACTCACGTCGTTGGAAGGAAAAAAAGAACTTCGACGGCACCGTTGGCTGTGCTCCTGTCCGCGTAGGATTCGACCATTGCCAAGGCTGCCTCGAAGCGGGCTGACCTGCCACAGCTGAGCAAAACCTGAAATACAGCAAAATTTATTGGATGCCAATGTTGTAAGGGTGGCTCACACAATGCCCAGGCTGAGCATTGCTTTTGCAACCACGTGCAATTAGCCCTCCATTGCGTCACTCGGCATGCGAGCCCGGCCTGACCCCTTCAGAGTCCAAAAAGGATGGCCAGCGATGATTTTCGAGGAGGCAAGCCAAAAAGGCCACCTGCCGGCATTCCCAGTCCCAAAAACTAGGCAGCTTGGCGTCCGATGCATTGACTGAGTCTTGGAGTCTTGTTTTGTCCCGAGAGTCGACAGACTGTTCCCTGCAGACCTCCTGAAAGTGAGGGCCCTCTTCCTCCGTCCTGGTCGAACGGTCGAACTGGAGCTGAAGGCATGAAACTGCCAGCTCCCCCTTGCAAAGGAAACCATGTTCCCCGGAAAACAGAATTCTGAGTGTTTCACAAGAAGTTTACAGCTCCATTCTCCTCAAGGACAGTGCATATCTGAGCACATGCTCTGCGTCAAGCTGGTTTTGCTCGGAACCTCAAGACTGGCTTTTGCGTCAGCACGCGTCAGCAATCATCTCAAACACTTTAGTTAATCGGTTACAGTAATCAATATACAGTATTTATAGGGGTTGCAACCCCTGGTTGATCCTGGTTGTATGGACAGTTACTAGTCTGGTCACCTCAATATCTACAGGCTTGCTCCACAGCGCACTCTGGCTTAGGCATCTGGCGCATCAGGAAACCTGCAAAGCCTCGGAGGCAGATGGTGACACCTCTGAACCCCCAGAACAAATAGGCTCTGATTTGAGGGCTTGATCATCTCAACAAGAAGCATTTTACATGATGCAGTAGACTGAATTTGTTGGGCGAAAGCTTCTCCATAGATGGCACATGATCTTGCAACACCAAATGCTAGAACCAGACCGTGAGAGCCACCGTCCACGGTCCCATCAGTGCCCGATCTAATTCATAAGTCCTGCAAGAACATCCACCCCAATGACTTTAGTGGTTCACCTGGCATGAAGCCTCCACCTCCCGGATCCTCAAGCTGAGGAGCTCAGCCAAGCCTGACACATCGAGCGCTCGGAAAGAAGAGGTCGCTGACAATGGAATGCGGTAGCTGAGACCAAGCACTTTAAACCGAAGTATACTGGTTCTGATGACATAGGAGGGCATAGGAGGTAGTATAGTTCCGTTAACTATTTGGTCACTAGGAGGTAGTATAGTCCATACTTCTTTGCACTTGACAGAAAAACATAGTTCATGGATGTTCATATGTCATAGTGCCTGTCTTGAGGAACAATGGCTGGTCTTGCAATGAGTCTGGTCATAGGACACCATCTGGTCATTAGAGCCGCAAATGAGTGACGCGCAAAACCTCTTACAGTATGTGTTGTAGTGCGCACTCTTCCCAACGTGATCGTCTTTTTCTGTGAGCCTTATCGTTCCTGAAGGTGTCCTTCACTTTACTTATTACTTAGTCTTCACTGTAGTGATGCTGCCCTTCTTTTGGCAGTTGCTCAAATGAGTTCTGCCAATGTTCCAATTGAAGCGCACATTCAACATTTTGGAACACGTGTGATCAATGGTGTGGGACATATATAACTACTGGATACTACTGGATACTGCTCCCTCGACTCAACACCGAGGTCTCCTGCCTCTCCATTCTCCACATTGGCCTCCAATGCTAGCCACTCCTCATAGACTTCTCTCGCCCCTGGCAGTTCCAGACTGGAAGACTGCGCGAACCGACCCAGTCCAGTGTCCGACCTTCCCTGCGCCGAACCTGGCGTGTGCCATTTCAACGGACCATTCCTTCAACGGACCATGTGAAGCATGTGCCTGGCTTGGTCTTCAAGGCCCTTCGCCCCTTCAACGTGACCACCCTTTGCCCCCAAAAAAAAGTGGATCGGACAACGTGACCGTTCTTCAAAGCCATGCGTGGCAGCACGGGCCCAATCACCCAGGAGCTCGTACTCGAAGGTCAGCCGCTTTAAGATGGCATCTGGGGTCTCCAAGCTGTCCTGATCTCATGTAGATCACAGTTGGCTTCATCTTCTGCGAAAGAACTGAAATAACATGAGCAACATGAGCCCTTTGCGGCGTCTCCAACATGAGACTTGGGCCAGCTCACCTGTTTGGTCGTTGCACTGATTTCTGGTGCTTTGGTCTGGCCACACATCCCATCATGGCGGACGGGCTGAGTTCGATATGTTATGTCGAACGTCCCACGATCTGAAGAACCAACCCGGGCTGCGCAACGATTTCGTCCGCAAAATGGAACCCTTGCCAAAACTCCAAACCAATTCATGACACAACTCTCACAACTCATTGAAGAAATTCAATGTGATTGTGTGTGTTTTAGGTAGTATTTAATTTACAGAAGGGGTTGCATATATGATGCAAGCCGTTTTGTCAACTTTGTCTCCATCATGCTCATGTCTATTGAACCACTCGCCGAACACTCAGATGCCTAGCCTATACCGCCCAAAACCCCCGGCTCCGCTCCCCCAGCTCCATGCAGCCACCGCGGCCGTCGTGGGCTCTGCCTCCGTCCGGCTCCGCCAGAGCAGTTCGTCCCGCAGGCGGCGGTGCTTCTGGACTTCGCCATTCAACGCGCGGAAGAGGTGCCGAGAGATGTAGTCCCTGGCTGAAGGTCTCTCACTTCCGGCTTCCCTCTCCAGACCCTCCCAAGGGGCGCGCCATTTTAGGATTGGAGACGCCCTTTGGCGAATTGGAATTCTGAGGAGTCAGTTTTCTGAAGCAGGGTTTATATATTTGGAAGATGATTTCAATTGACCAAGTGGTGGTGTGGTGTGTGGCAGTTGTCGCACAAATCCTTTTTGCAACCCCCTTGTGAATTCCTTCGCGGAGGTGCACTGGAACTCTTGCATTTCACGCTTCGGACATGAAGGACGTGCGCATCGGTAGAGTGAATCTTCACACAGGGCACCCACCAACCCCTTGTAGACTGAAAAATATGTTAAGGGAAAAAGGATGGAAACTGGGAAGGATCCAACGGAGTGGTGAGATCCAACGGAGTAGTTGAACGGAAAACCCATGATGAACAGCCGCACCACACGAAAACACCCCGCCCACGTCACCTAAGATAGGTGTACTTGGCATCATTCTCATTGCCACTCAACCCACAGGCAGGTCCGTTCTTGTTCTCCGCCCGCACCAGGCGCACAATGGCCGGCCGCAGTGCTTGCCCCAGATCTTTCAAACTGCTGCCATCACCCTCTTGCTCCAGCCATCGCAGGAAAGCCCTGCGGGAGACGCCTCGTCAGGGTCGGTGGACTCTGGCACGCAGCTGGTGCGTCATGAAAGAAGGGCATAGCGGCGATCACTGCACTGAGGACCGCAAGTGGAAACACAAGGGCAGTGTGAAAACATGTGAAGGAAGAAAAAAAAATAAAAGATGAAAAATCGCGAACCAACCAACCACCCGGAGTCCTTTCTTTCCGAGCAAAGCATTCGGGCTCAAGGCCCCTCCCGGTCCAACGATCTTCGTCTCCACCAAGCCGGAGTCGTAACACCAACGGGCGAAGTCGAAGGAGAGGCGTGCGATGAGACTGGCCGCCTCCTTTTCCAGTTCCTCGTTCACCGTGGGGGGTGGGCGCTTGGGCGGAGCTGCAGGGATGTAAGGCTCGCCATTCGGCTGTGTGGGTGCTTGAACATCCCTTGGGCAAAGCCGCTGCAAGGGCCGATCGAGGCTGATGACTCCTTTCACGTAGGTCTGACAGGCACGATAGGGGGCAGACCACTCAGCCTCGAAGTCTGGCTGCGCGCCCACTTGGGTTAGATAGGCTCGGAATTCGAGCTCCGGGCCCCGACCCTGGCTGGGTGCAATGAGGCGCCGAAGATCCAAGAAGGCCTGAGCATGATGCCACCGGGCCAACTTGCCATGGCCAGCCTGAGCCTCGGGTAGCTCCTTGAAGTCCATTGCGCTCTCCTGACCCAAGAGGACTGGGAACATGTAGAGCCAAGTCCCACCAGTCTTGCTGAGGGGATCCGACACCGGATCCCTGCCGCGCTCGTCGCCCAAGGTGTTCAACAAGCGTTGCAACCACTCCCGGCCACGATAAGCTTGGACCTTGCCCTCGAAGCGCACACTTGGTAAGCCCTCCTAAAGGGTGCAGCATTTATAGGCGTTTAGATGAGCAAACTTCCAAAAAACCGGCTTAGAACGAACTCACAAGTGGATGTCATGTATAGCCTAGCAGCTAGCATATAATACTCATACAGTTGCCAATGGCATTCGGCATATTCCGCTTTGGCACGGCGTGCGTTGCACCGGGGATCTTCCCTACTCGTACCGTGCTCGCCGCGGGTAGCACGCGCGCTCATTCCAAGTGGCAGGGCCAACCGCTGGAGGGTCGAAAGTCCATACAGCCCAGTCATGAATTGACAAAGCAGTAGTTTTTATCATGGCTTACCAGGAATCCCGCAGGGCCGCAGGTGAAGTGAAAATATTATATATCTTATATCTGTGTCATGGTGTCATGCGGTGTCCCTTCCAGTAGCGCCTCTTTGTTTGGGGGGCCATCTCCCACTATTTGAAGCCCACACGTCAACGCTCTCTCATCTCCTCCACCTCCTGCAGATCCTCCACGCTTCCCTCGAAGAGCGCGCGGAAGGCATTGGGGTCCACCTCGCCGAAGCCCTGCTCCACGAAGCGACGGCACTCCGCCAGGCGTCGCCACTGGGCTGCAGCGTTGATGGCGCGAAGCGAGGAGAAGGCTAAAGCGTCCAAGGTGCCGAGGCCCTCCGCAGCGAGGAGGAAGAACAAGCTCTGAGCACTTTGGGAGGCGAAGTCCTGGAGCGAGGGGGACGGGGAGGGGAAAAAAAGGCGAAACCACACACTCCAACCCGAACACTGATGAGGTAGTGAAGGGTGGACGAGAAATGCCACCTGCCACACAGATGGTGCCGCTCGAGGTTGGTAGGGCAACTGTCCATTGAAACAACCAAATACTTAAACTGTGTCGCCATACATCACTTCAAAAAAAAACTCCAAAACAGTTTTGGGGAGGATGAAGAATTGGGCGTCTCTGTGAGACGTTCGGTGACGAGTCATGCCCACCAAGGATTGCCGGAGGGACTTGGAGAGTCATGTAAACAGTAAACCCAACTGTGCCCATTAACTCTCGTCCTTTACAGGTAAAAAGTTTATAGTAGCTTCTTGTTACTACTAGTAAGGCACTTGTTACTAGAAGCGATGCACTTGTTCCTAGTAACAGCTTCTTGTTACTACTAGTAAGGCACTTGTTACTAGAAGCGATGCACTTGTTCCTAGTAACA